ATTATGAAGTAATTGTTCGCAAATGCGAACCATTGGTGCCCAGCTATTCTTCGCAAATGCGAGGAAGTAACTCGCAAATACGAACCTGATAGGGAGATTGCCATATCGCAAAAGCGAAGCCAGATCTCTCAATTGCAAGGACTGAGGCCTGCACCAGAAATAGTAGAGCACCAGCTATTTTCTTAAGTCTAAACCACTCTGAAGCCTATCAGAAACTCACCTGAGCTCTCAGGGCTCCAAACCAAACATGCACACAAGTCCAAAAATACCATACGAACTCGCGCGCGAGATCAAAATACCAAAATAACACCTGGAACTACGAATCAGACACCAAATCAAATGAAATTTTCAATTAAACTCAAGAATTTCTATTTTAACAACCGGATGTTCGAATCACATCAAACCAAATCCGTTTTATACCAAATTTTGCAGACAAGTCATAAATATAGTAATGAACCTATGCCAAGCTCCGGAACCAAAATCCGGACCTGGTAGCAAAAAATTCAAACTTTAGTCAAATCCTTAAACCCTTTAGACCTTTAAACTTCAAATTTTTTATAAAAATACGATAACGCGATCTAGGGACCTCTGAAACCAATTTCGGCCATACGCCCAAGCCCAAATCACGATACGGACCTACTGGGACTGTCAAAATACAGATCCAAGTTTGTTTGCTCAAAACGTTGACCGAAGTCAACTCAAATAGATTTTTAAGGTACAAATTCACATTTTAATCAATTTTCACATAAAAGCCTTCCGAAAAAAGACACGGATCATGCACGCAAATTGAGAAAGGCAAAAAGGAGCTATTTGAGGTTTTGAAATATAGAATTATGGTGGGTCATCACATTCTCCATCTCTAAAACAATCGTTCGTCCTTGAACGGACATAGAGAAGTACTTGAACTGGCGAAAAAGGTGCGGATATCTACTCCGCATATCCAACTCAGACTCCCAAGTGGCTACCTCGGCTAGCTAACCTCTTCACTACACTCAAACTGAAGGATAACCCTTAGACCTTAACTATCGAACCTGCCCGGGCTAGAATAGCCACCGACTCCTCCTCATAAGTCAAATCCTTGTCCAATTGGACTGAGATGAAATTTAACACATGGGATGGATCACCATGATACATCTGGAGCATAGACACATGGAACACGGGATGGACTACTGATAAACTAGGTGGCAATGCGATCTTGTAGGCCACATCACCCACTCTCTAAAGAATCTCAAAAGGTCAGATATATCTAGGGCTCAACTTGCTCTTCTTCCCAAAACTCATCACACCCTTTATGAGTGAAATTCGGAGTAATACCCTCTCTTCGACCATGAATGCAACATCACGAACTCTACGGTCGGCATAACTTTTCTGCCTAAACTGAGCTGTGTAAAGTCGATTCTGAATAATCTTGACCATGTCCAAGGCATCGTGTACCAAATCCGTTCCCAACAACCGAGCCTCCCCCAGCCCGAACCATCCAACAAGCGATCGACACTGCCTCCCATATAATGCCTCAACAACCTCCCACAACAACAATCGATGGCCCTTCTCCCCCTGTATCCACGGCTCTCCTCATACGAGGCATTAAACCACCGTCATCAAGAGAGACGTCGTCCTCATCAACTAACGAGTAGAGTTGAGGAGAAGGAGTTGAAGGTAAAAAGGATACGGGCTCCCAAACTACGGTAGTAGAAGTTGAGACCGACGACCTGGTGGTTACAACATGATCTAAAGGGAGGGTCGGCCCGAATTTCTTGAAAAAACTTGGCCAATCACGGAGACCCAATCAGAAATATGAGCGTCCAAAGCAAGAGGCAAGATCTTGTTTGTAAAATAAGAAGGTGAGAAGTCAGAATTCAGGACCGAACACGGGAGAGAAATCAGGCACTTACGAATATAGTTCCAAGCCTCAGGAAAGCCATGACATTGGCCACGACGTCTTCATCCATCTCCACCACCAAACATTTGCCTCCTCGGTGGCAAAGGTTTAGCATCGTTCCCCTATAAAAATTAGGGGCGAATAGATATATTAAGTGACGTAGAGTCAATTCAAGCCCGGCCAGCTCGGCAAACTTTGCGAGCATCTTTATAATTTTATAAACGTACGACGCGAGCTGAGAAGGACAAACACCATAGTGGCGACAGAAGTATTTCACCAGTGGAAGGAGGGGGAAAGAATAACCAACTTGGAAAGGATAGGCATATAGGTCACAATACCCAGGATGGTGGACCTGTACCGCGTCCCCTCCGGCCGGGATCAACTCAATATAATTGGGAAGGCCGAATCTGGCTGTAATCTCCATTAATTCTTTTATCGTCATCACTGATCGAAAAGCTCTAGGCGGGGACTCTAGAGATTTGGTGAAATCGGATCTGGAATCAGGGTTACATGGGATTATTTTCCCTACCGATGAAAAAATGTCATACTTAACGGTGGCAGAAACGCTTTCCCATGGGAGGGAAACACCAGTCCCAAAGGAGCAACACGACTCCTCTTGCTAGCATTAAGATGTGTTAGACATAATTCGACATAGTGAAGGAAAGTAACAAACGAGAGGCGATGAAGAATAATATAGGTCACTAAAATAGAGAAGAAATTCAGAAAAGAAGAGAGCAAGAAAAAGGTATGGTGTTTCGAAACGTTAAAGGGTTTAAACTCCATAATCGTATTCGAAGACCTCTATTTATAAGGATTATGGCACCGAAACCGAAAACATTTCATCATAATTTACGCAAGAACCGAAGTGGCAGGTCCAATCAAAGGTCACACATGAAACAAAGCAACGCATCGGGAATATGTGTCATAATGACGCATGACGTCATGATGTCATCCTAGCCTGTGGACAACATAACGCCAACAAATCACCCAAAAAAATTGAAGCATTTGAAATGTGCGGCTCATAGAGGGCTACGTCACTTGCTCGCCACAATAACCATAACCTGTGTAGTCCGTTTGATCAGCCCGACCACCAACAACACGATTTGGTCATTGAACATGTCCGCGAAGTCGGCCTCAATAAGCGGAGGGACTAACTGTATGGGTCAAAATCTCTCTAGAATATAAGTCAAAATGGCATAGGTGAAACATTCCTAGGCCGCCACGAGTCGAAGTGATCTAATCAACAACGAAGGTCGTGGTCAAAGAGTCAAAAAAGATTGAAGTCGAGGAGTCGTCAATAATCGAGGCCGAGGTCGTGTACCCTTGATAGAGTTATAACGGCTAGTTTCAAGATAGAACATGAAAGAGAATATTCTAGTAGATATTCTCTACACTTGTACTATTAGAATTTCTAGGAATATGTTCCATATAAATAGAAAGAGACACAATGATAAGGGGCATGAAATATTCATTTTGTAAAAAATACTTTGACTTTAGAGAGAGAGAATCTGGTCTCATCACAAGCACACAAAAATAACATTTTCACTAAGATTCTTGCTTATACTTTTCCACTGTATTCAAGAATACCTCGGACACTCAAAGGTTATCCATGATTCTCAATTGTCAGAAAGAATATTCATTGATCTCGTCCTTTCTCGGGTGACTCCTTCGCATTTATTTACATAAATATCATTTGTTGTTGTTCATCACTATTTAATGCGGCATTACTTCTATTTGGGTTCTTAAATACTGATTGTTGAGCACCGTCATAGCTTTAGGAACATATCTGCATACTATTTATCACACTAACGGGAATTTTCTTTTCAAAATATTATTATTAACCAAGATTAACTCTCATCTATATAAATCTAATTAGTTGAACCAAAATTTATATTTTTTGTCAAACAAATAATAATGATGATTGATGACGATAATGAAAAAATTAAAATATTAACAGACAAATGAAGAATTTGGCGATGATTGAAAATCTTGAGTTCTCTAATTTGTCTAATATCTCATCTTTTGTATAGACAATCCAAGGCAAATTAAGCAAAATTTCTTTGAGTATACTTACTGAAACTAAATCCTCGTGTGCTTTTCCTTGAATAAGGAATTTATAAATTGTTAGCCTACAGAAAGTTAGATGAGAAAATATATTTTATAAAGCATAATTGATCCTTAGAAGAGTAAGTCGTCAAGAGGAATTTATGAGTACGCAAGGGACAGAGAAGGAGACTGGGTCAGTGCAATAATGGTTCTCTTGATATGGTAATGGTGTCTATAGTTTACTTTGTCAATCATAATTTTTTCTTTCTTTCTTTTTCCTCTTCCTCTTTTAAAAAAAAGAAATTATTTTAATTACATCAGAGAAACGGGAGAGGAAGGGAAGGATAAGCAAAGGTAATACAAGTTGAATCCACAAAACTATCGAGCGGGTGTGGTATGGTTAAAATTACTTTACTCTTGACGAGAGATTTCAAATTCTAAGTCTTGGGAGTGGAAAACTTTTTGTGCTTTATCCCGCTTAGTTAGTCTATCTAGCAAAATTGTGTTAGTGAGCCAGTATATTTCGGACACTGAAACAGGAAATACACCTAGAGAGTTGACAATCTCACTAATACTATTAACCGATTAGTCTTGGTAATATAAAACTACTACGTCAACCACGATTAATATATCAAAAGATAACCTACTCATTAGGTTACCACGCGATTTACACTTTTTCCTAACGTTGATAATATCCAGAATTGCTATGAAACTGTAGTACAGCTTAATTAATTGTTATTTTGAAGATCGTTTTCAAGCTCTCGCCATATACTGCCCCTCCATAAAGAAATATCACATTCAAAGTACCTTGCATTTTCTGCTTATAATAGTCATTTTCTTGGTCGTACTTTTCAACTTAGAAAAGAACGAAAAGACAGCAAAAAATATCGATCTTTCTCATCCTTCTTAGCAGGCATTAATGACTATGGTTTGGCTATATGATGTATTGTGGACCCTTTTCTAATGAATACTTGGAAATCAATCTTCATTTTTCTATCTTGACAACGATTCCAACCAAAATATAAAATACATAAGGTAACAAACAACATATTATAAATCCTCATAATCAATATCTTAATGTTCTTGTAGTATTCTTTGACATGTTCAACTTTCTTTGACATGTTCACCGCGAACTTCAGTATATATACTCTCTAATTCTCATCGAGTACACCTCCAACACCACATCTAATCCACCCAATCCCAAAATACCAAAAAAATTGTGTCCAGAAAATGTATAGAGTTGCAAGTGCATCAGAGTACCTGGTGATCACAGGGTGGGGGATCCCTGATATAAATATAGCGAAGAAAGCTTGGGTACTTCCTGGACAATCTAGTACAAAGTTTGATGTTTCCCCTGTAAATTACACTTTTGAAGTCCAAGCCATGAGTGCTGAAAAACTCCCTTTTCTTCTTCCAGCAGTTTTCACGATCGGTCCTAGAATTGATGATGAAGGCAGCCTCTTGAAATACGCAAAACTCATCTCTCCACATGACAAACTCTCAAACCATGTCAAAGATCTTGTTCAAGGTATAATTTTTTTTTTCTTTTTCTAATAACGTTGGTGTCTAAAAGCTTGACACAACTCGAGTATTCCATCTACCTGCTATCTCCGAGTAAGATTTAGGCAAATGGGACGAAATTATCCAGCATCCCATTTCATTGATGGTGCCCCATGTAGACGGAGTTGGTATATTGTCTATGGGTTTAAAGGAACCCAATATTTTTTATATAGAACATAGATAGATTAAAAAAAACGCTAGAAGTTCGACAAGTATTGAACACACGAACAACAATAACAAACCGAGTATATTCCCACAAGTGAGGTCTGGGAAGGATAGTATATACACAGACCTTACCCTACCTTTAAGAAGGTGGAGAGGTTATTTTCGGTAGACTCTCGACTAAGAAAAGATAAAGGAAAGGGGCAATGACAAGCAAACCAAGCGAAAACGCAAAACTAACACTAAGTAGTGCAATTAGAAAACTGAAGCGAAGACAACAACAAGTAATACCAGAAGTCTAGGAATACGAAGATACACGAAAGATACTAAGTGATGTACTAAATCACTATAACAAACAAGGACGCTCGGCTACCTAACCCTCTACCTTAATTCTCAACCTCCACATCTTCCTATCCATGGTCATGTCCTCAGTAAGCTGGAGCAATGTCATATCCCACCTAATTACCTCTCCCCAATACTTCTCTAGACGGCCTCTACCTCCCTGTTGGCCCTCCAAGGCCAACCTCTCATACCTCCTCACGGGAGCATTTGTGTCTCTCCTCTTCACATGCCCGAACCATCTAAGTCTCGCCTTTCGCATCTTGTCCTCCACAGAGGCCACACCCACCATGTCTCGGATAACATCATTCTTAATTTTGTCTAATTTGGTATGCTCGCACATCCATCTCAACATCCTCATTCCAGTCACCTTCATCTTCTGGACATGGGAGTTCTTGACTGGCCAACACTCTGACATATACAACATAGTCGGTCTAACCACCGCTCTATAGAACTTCTTTTAAGTCTTGGTGGCACATTCTTATCACACAGAACACTGGAAGCGAGCCTCCATTTTATCCATCCCGTCCCAATATGATGTGCGACATCCTCTTCAGGGGTGGCTCAAACACATGTGGAGCCTAAGGCTAAAGTCTAATGTGGGGCCTAAATTATTAAAAGAATGTTATAATATATTTTTTTTTATGGGTAAATAATATATTATATAAATATTTGCACTAAGCCAGTGCAACAGGCATAATTTCAGGTTGTGCAAATCAACAATTGCGTCTAAAATATCATCTATATCTAGCACAAAAACCAGTTTGCACCAAAAAGCGATCAACAAAATGTAATTAAGTTTAAGGCACAATAAATTTCTTCTTTTGCCTTTAAAATTCTACTATTTCTTTCAAGCCAGACATACCCCTATATAACTTGCGGAAAAATGTTCCTCATCTTTTGAACTTTCTTGCATAGACCCTCCTGGTCCAGCACTTCGACATTTCTGAAATGGAGTTAGGCATGGTCTAAATATACCAAATATTAAAAAGAACATGTTCCACAACTGGTTTGTAACGTTGCAAAAGAAAGAAAAGATGGATAACATCAGATTGTTCTTCACATAAAGAAGGTTATAATGTATATTTTTATTTGAAATCTATTCTTCTAGTTTTTGAGATACAAAGTTGTTAATAATTTTTTTATAAACGATTTTTCTGATAATTCATTTTTAATTGATAATATAATCAACTTATTTAATCTTTCTGGAAACATTGTTGATCTTAGGTAAGATTCTATGGAGCAATAGAAGTATAGAACTATTGGAAGTTTAAAAGTACTGTTGAACACTTGAACTAATGAAATCTTAGAGAAAGAAGTAATGAAATCTTGACAAAAGAAGGTGAGTAAGAATATCAAAGAGACGGTTTCTGAAATATGAAAAGATGGGAAAAACAAAGATTGATTTGGACAAATTTAGAAAGATGGGTAGATCACTGTTTTCTTTTAACCATTTTGCCACCACTACCACGACACCTCCCCTTGAATGTAGCGTGTGCGTGCGTTGATTGCCAGGGCAAATAGAAATGGACTGAGGGATGACCCTTGGTGCAACCCCAGGACAAGTATTGAACACACAATTTTAAAAGGTGGAATGAACTTAGTGCTAAGAATCTTAAGGTTGAACCATCAAGTTTAAATATTAATCCACCTATATTTGAGTACTATCATTAATTTGGTCATTCCCCTTGTTGAAGGTATCATTGAAGGAGAAACTCGAGTTCTTGCCGCATCAATGACAATGGAGGAGATATTCAAAGGCACCAAAGAGTTCAAACAAGAAGTATTCGGGAAAGTCCAACTTGAACTAAACCAATTTGGGCTATTAATCTACAATGCAAATGTCAAACAGCTAGTTGATGTTCCAGGACATGAGTACTTCTCCTACTTGGGTCAAAAGACACAAATGGAAGCTGCAAATCAAGCGAAGATTGACGTTGCAGAAGCCAGAATGAAAGGAGAGATTGGAGCAAAGCTAAGATCAGGACAAACACTACAGAATGCCGCAAAAATTGATGCAGAAACAAGGATTATATCGACACAAAGGGAAGGAGAAGGGAAGAAAGAGGAGATGAAGGTGAAGACTGAAGTGAAAGTTTATGAAAACCATAGAGAAGCAGAAGTTGCTGAAGCAAATGCAGAATTGGCAAAGAAGAAAGCAGGGTGGGCTAAGGATGCACAAGTAGCAGAGGTGGAGGCAGAGAAAGCTGTGGCTTTGAGGGATGCTGAGTTGCAGAGGGAAGTGGAGAGGATGAATGCTTTGGCCATGACAGAGAAGCTTAAGGCTGAATTCTTGAGCAAAGCTAGTGTTGAGTATGAAACTAAGGTTAGCCTAATGCCTTTGACAACATAATGGGCCATGCTTCATTGTCTCTATACAAACTTTTACTAAATATTTTCATTGATTAGGGGAGAATCAACAATAATTCAAAAATTCATGAACAATTTTTATGCTATCACACCTTAAAGATGGATTTAAATTATATACTATGATGATTCGTTACACTACCGGTGTAGTTCAAGATTATGGTACATCAAGTCAGTTACTATTTATTAGGTTAAGTTACTATTTATTATGTTACTGATTAATGATTAACATACCAAATTACATGTAATTATCTTACATGAAACCTGATTATCTTTAAAAAAAATTACATGGTCAGTGCATAAAAGGAAAAAAAAAAACCCAAACTATGAAGCTTCTAATGCCTTGTTTTCTAAAAGGTGCAAGAGGCAAATTGGGAGCTCTACAAGAAACAAAAAGAAGCAGAAGCATATCTCTACGAAAAGGAGAAAGAAGCAGCAGCACAGAAAGCAATTGCAGAAGCTGATTCCTACAGACGTAAGCAGATCATTGATGGAGATTTATATGCAAAGATGAAGGAAACAGAAGGACTTAAAGCTCTAGCAGAAGCTCAAGGCACCTATTTGCACACTCTCTTAGAAGCTTTGGGTGGAAATTATGCTGCTCTAAGGGATTACTTAATGATAAGTGGTGGAATGTTTCAAGAACTTGCCAAGATTAATGCTGAGGCTATCCATGGCCTACAACCCAAAATCAGCATTTGGACAAATGGAGGATCTCATGAGGCAGCAGCAGAAGGTGGTGGAAGTGCCCTAAAAGAAGTTGCTGGCATCTACAAAACATTGCCACCATTGTTCAAGACTGTTCAAGAACAGACTGGAATGTTGCCACCTTCATGGATGGGCACCTTGACTAATGACACTAGTCAATGACTCTTGTTCTCTTCGACGAATAATGTTAGGATCAAAATGTCACACTTTTGCTATTTTGTTCAAATAAAAACCCCACGGAACTGGTCTACTAGATTAGTGCTAGTGCATGTGACTTGAGGCTTGCTCGGTTAGTGAGGCATGTCTACATCTAAGCAGCAGGTCAAGAGTTTTGAGTCCTGAGCGGATGATTTTCGAACTTAAGAAAGTTCAATGGCTTCCGTTTTTCTACATCTCTTTCTTACATGTTGTGATTTTTTTAAAATTAGGCATCTTTGATCTGCTTTTCCAATCAAATTATTTACTAATCGAGCTCAGCAACATCAAATGAATGACTATTAGAACATGAAAAACAGCGGAATATAAAATGAGACCTGGCAAACTATTTCACTGCCTTGAGGTGAAGCACAAAGAATTAAGTTGTAATTTATATATATATNTACGGCATTGATGATTGGATTTAAACGAACAAAAGAAGATATAAATCATACCCCTTCCCCCGAACAAAACAAAAGATAAAAAAGGAGGAATGTGTGTGCCACAATAGAAGATAGAACTGCGTGTCTAGAACAAAATCTCAAAACAAAAGAAAATTAATATAATGGAGAAAAACGTGGAATATATAGTAAGAAGAAAAAGGATATGCATTAAAGAATCATGAAACAAATTTGATGTGTTTGTGCTAAGCAAGCAGCAGCAGCCAGCAGGGAAAGAGAAATGGCGGTCATCCAAAAATCAGTAGAATCCGTGGAATCAAAACGAAAATTCATGGTACCATGTCCACTCATTAGTGCCCCACTCCAAAAGACAAAATGAACAACTAGCACACAGTTCACGGTAGAAGCGTCCACTTTAAGATCATTAAAAGAAATTCATAGGCAACAAAATCATAAAAGCTAAACTGCATGGGAAAATGTCCGTTCAGTGTCCGGTACAGGTTTACATTCTCTGTACAGGGAATCCTATTGTATATCAATTGAAAACTGAGTGATACAGTTTTCTCCTAAGCACAATGAAAATCTATAAATAGGAATGACCAGAAATGCCAAGTGCAAATAACAAGGTATACCCTACAAATAGTTATGGCTCAACATGGCAAGTTCACCTGGTTTAGTACAGGATGGACACTTCAACAAGGACATCACATAGTCCCATCCACTCGGATATGGTATGGTGGCCCGCGACAAAATATGGACTCGTCGCATGATTTAGCTCTTGCTCTGGCTCGCAGCATTTCATTAGCATCATCGATCACAGCAGCAGCTAATAGTGTGTACTCACCAGGAACCAGGAAATACAAGGAGAATGAATGTCTATATTCCTTCAGTGGAGGTACCTCCATGGTGACACCACTGAGAACACCTAAAAGTGATCAAGAAACCATACACATCAGATCAAGAGTGATATAGGTCTCCATTTGCACATCATGTGTATAGTTGCTCTCTTAATTTTTGTAGAGTGAAGGCAGCAGTCATAAACAAAACAAAAAAAAAACAAGGCAGATAAGGAAAACTTTCCTCATTGATGGGACTACTCCAAAATAATTACAGAAGTTACTAAAATAGCACTATATTTGTAATAAAAGCTCATAACTAGGTACTTGGTGAATGTTGAAATGCTACACATGCAGAAACAAAATTACAATGCTAGTTCAACTTAAATAAGAACATGAAAAAGGGAGAGAAGTAATGTTTTAGAATAACACCTGCCCATAACACTGTCGCTTTATCACCCTCGACGCAGTTCTCCCCAGCTATATCTCTGCATGTGATGCTAAGACTGACTTTAATCATTTCCTTGGTATTATTGCGTACCAGCACTTCTATCGGTGTCATGTCATGAGCTCTTAAAGAACCTTTACGTGTACCCTGAATATCAGATTCTTCATCCAAATTAAGTTCAGCAAAATCTTGTAAAGTATTTTGGCCGCACCTAAACCCAAAGGTCAATGGATCTGGTAGTAGTACATCCATCATGGATGATTGTAGGGCAGCCTGTATTGCATCTTTTATGTTTAGTTCTCCTGAATTGTTTCGGCCGGATTGCCACCTGACTTTGATTCTAGAGATTAAATTCTTGATGGAAGCATTAAGTTCAGCTTTGCTACTTTTCTCCGAGAAGCTCGATCTTCTACTAATGGTCCCATTCATTTGGGACTCCTTAACCAGGAAAGAACCATCAAGAACAGGTAACTTAAAATGTTCTAATGGTATTAACACCCTGGCAGTGTAATCTCTGTCAATCCTAGTTTTAGGATAATCATACACAGGATTCTCCTCATCGTTAGAATCCTCCATATTAACAGACACACCAATCTCAAAGACAACATCAGTTGGATTGGATAACTCCAGCTCGAGGAAGCGCAGGCCCCAACTTCCTCTGTAAGGATCAATTTTCATGAACCTATCAGTACGAGGGGATTCTTCGGTGGAACTGGTTTCCACTTGAATTTTTGAATGATTCTCCCCCACATGAGCAGGGATCTCCATAGATAACAAACGAGCCTTCACAAGAGATAAACCCTGCAAAACACATATATTCAGGGGAACGACTAAGCGCCTACCAGGAGGAACAGATCCATTTGTTGATGCATCTCCAGAATAAGCAAGTGGACCTGTTAAGAGAAGCAGATCAGTCAGTATAGAAAGATTTTCATGAAACCCAACTCCAAATACCAGTTCTACACTTTCATTATTCTACATGGTCTCCTAGCATTGTGCAGAAATATTTTCCGTTTACCCATAGAGTAATTTCTGTTTTATGTTCCCAATTTTACGACCCCATATTTGATTTGGTCCCTAACATTTGATCTCTCTCAATTGTATCCTACAGGAATATGATCCCTCTTATGTTGGTGCAGAAGATCACTCCCAGTCCGACCCTTTCACATTGCAAAAGTGGCTATCCACAAAATAAAAAGAATAGTGAAAAGGGACCACACATAATGGTGCGGAAAGCAACACAAAAAAGAGGGGCTCCAAGAGAATGCAGGGACTTCCCCGTCTGGTTGCACTGACATATGTTCATATCATAAATCCAGGATGCAGCATCCAAGTTTGACAATAGTGCTTCATTTTCCTAGTCTATCGCATACCTTGGAACAATTAGAAGTTGAATGCTTACCTGCATAGTGGATCAGCAGCACAGGGCTGCTTCCGTCCTTGAGTTGCCTCCCAGTGCTTCCAGATATGTTCTTGCCAGGTGCAGCATCCAGATCCGAAAGTCCAAGCTGCCAAGCCTTTAAGGTGACAGGTATTCTCACTTCAGCACCGGGCTTCAAAGGAAGGGAAGACTTCAAGATTTCATAAGCAATTGACTGGATTGAGTCTTGATTTTTTCCAGATAATGAGATGTGGGCTTGCTCAATTGGAACCGTGCCGGCATTGGCCAAACTTATCTGCACTTCACGAATCTCGCCTTCATATAAAATTATAGCACCATCACTACCCACAACACGTGATATAAACAATGGCAAAGGTGGAACCACTGAAATATTTGGAACCGTAACATTTTTCAACTTTGGTGACCCACAACAGCGGAAAGGATCAGACAGCACAAGTCCTTGAGCCGCTCCCACGAGAAGATTATCCACATCCTTAAAATAATGTTCAGTGATAACACCAAAACAATGAACAATACATCCCGGAATTTTCAGTGAACCTACTTCAGTAGGAATTCCAGCTAATGCAATCACTTTGGAAGAATTAGGAGGCAGACTAACACTGATGGGAAAAGCATCAAAATTCCCTGAATGCACAGATAGATATATACTATCCACCTTCAAATCAAAGCCACAAGGATTTGCCAACTCCACTAACACTTGCACTGCTTCACCTACAACCCATATAAGCTCCTGCTTACTGCTTTGATTCGCCTCCCCTTTGCTGAAAGGTGTATAAATAAAAGGTCCTGAAGGAGCAGCCCCTGCCCACCAATCATCTCTCCCATGATTACGTTTTACTATGTCCTGTTGGGAGGAATGAAGTGGAAAAGAATGCAACCTGGGAGAATTTATAAAGAGGAAAGGATAATTAGGCTTCTCAATCAAAATTGATCTGAAAATAAGGTCATAGATTGCAGACACCATAGAGTTCAGAACAGTACCAGTACGCGGAAAAATTAATCCAAACTGCAAAATAATAATTTAAAATAATATCAGATAATATTTACTGCTTTACGAGGAGACTAATGAAAAAGTTTCAAACAATTATTCGCAAGTGTTCCACCATTGGTAATACGGTAATAGTAGAGTGAGATAAAGGAATAGTTTTATGATCAAAAAGGTTATATTTATGGCACATTACAATTTTTCTGATTTTTATGAGCTTATCAGTAAATTACACTCCTAGTTATATGCTGAAGAAATGGTTAATACAGGGATTGGCCTTAAAACAGGCAATTTGAGCATCTTACAAGCCTGAGCTAGTTAGCAGTGTGTAACAATAGACCCTGAAGTAACACCAGCATTGTCAATGTACTTCTGATTGAACTTAGAACAAGTATCTATCTCCAAATTTTATGTACAGATGCATGTTTTCTTGTATTAAAAACCGAAAAGAATAAGGAGTGGAGGACACCAAAGGCAACTACCATATAACTAGAACTTTCTGAAATTGCTAGCTCCGTTCATTTACTCCACCTATTCCTCCTTTGATCATCTCATACAAAATAAAAGATGGTATAAGAAGAACAGAATACTTTTAGTATCTAGTGAAGTGCAACATAAGCAACCCAGGACTAGAATAACCAAATAGGAGACTGGGAAACCAATCATATCAAAAGATAGCCTTTATAGTTCATTTCATCCTTTTCTTCATCAGAGATACTAAAATGGTCACAAATGACAAACCTAAGTCTGACAATACCAAGATAAAGCTAGACATATTTCTGGGAATTTCTTCACCAAAAAGCCGTCCTCAACATAAACATGAAATCACAACTCAGCTGATATCCCGGCTCCTATTTTCTGTTGATATATCTCATTTCAGTTCCTAGTCTCCACTTATAGTCACCAGGAGTAAGAAATAGCTGCTATGGATAATTAGGTTAACTACTCTGCCCTGATAGTCTGCCTTTCAAACTTCCTCTCACTCCGCTTGGGCACAGGAAGAGTCCACCGCTAGCATATAACTTAAGTCATTCATCAGCTGCTGGTTGTCTTAGCACATTCAAGTAAGTGAAACGATCTCTTTAATGATTCACATCATTATTTTTTTTTTGGATTTACAATT